TTAAGTCACTACTCTAATTAATTAAAATATTTATAAAAAATAATAGCATCATTTAATAAAAAAAAATATTCTCAGAATTGAATATAGAACAAAATTGTTGAAAAATTGAAATTTCTTATCGAAATGAGTATTATAGGGCGTTTAACTTGGCCTTAAGGCATGAAATTATTTAACTCAATTGTTCGTTGTGTTATTTACCTAGGTTATTTACCTATGTTATTTTTTTCTGTTTGATTTTGGTTTGACCTATCAGTAGAAGGTAGATCTTGGTATATTTATTGCATACTCAAAATAAAAAGAATTGGCCAGCGTATCCTATTGATATATGATGATCGTATTAGAACCTAATAAGAACAGCAAACCTATGTATCTTTAAAACTATAGCCGACAGAAAATTTAGCTTTATAATGCGTTAAATTTTAAAATGGGCTTATTACGAACGCTACTCTAACAGTTGCAGAGCTAGCGAACGTACCGGATTCGTTTTGAACGGCTAATAACAGATGACAACAACTAAAGAGTATCATACACGAAAAACCCTACGTGGACTCGTATAAAAATTCTAGGGGAAAGACACGATGAACTCTTGTGACTAACAACAGCTTTAATCTATTGATAACCTTTTAAAACGAGTACAAGTATAAAATTTGACCCTAGGTCTGTACAAAATAATATAGAATCTAAGAGTACAAAATAAACCAAAACCCAACTTACGAGTTGATGAAAAATCACTAGTTTACAAATATCACATATATGGCACTAGGAAATGAACACGGCTTTATGAAAATTAACTTAAACCACTGAATGGTACTAAAATCACAAATAATAAGGGGGAAAATGCTGCTTTGAACTATGTAACACAATATGGCATCACACACATTGCAATCTCTCCCAGAATGACTGGTAAGCGGCTAGTAGTATAGAAGGTCCCCCAAGTGGTATATTTGAGGGTGAAGGGTGAGGGTGCAACTGTTGATCAGAGGGTGCCCACCTGTTGCATATTTTGACCGTTATTGATTGATTTTTGCCCACCTGTTGCGTATTTTGACCGTTATTGATTGATTCTTGACCACCTGTTGATTATTTTTGACTGTTTTTTGACCACTTGACCACACATTAATCACTTGTTGATTGTTGTATTGAGGGTTAGGGTGAGGGTGAATGAGGGTGAGAGTCCCCACCCTCAATTGAGGGTTAGAGGGTTAGGGTGAGGGTGCTTGAGGGTGAGAGGCCCCACCCTCAATTGAGGGTTAGGGTCCCCATCTGTTGATCACTTGTTGATTGTTGTATTGAGGGTTAGATTGAGGGTGAGAGGCCCCACCCTCAATTGAGGGTTAGCGGGTTAGGGTGACTGAGGGTGAGAGGCCCCACCCTCAATTGAGGGTTAGGGTCCCCATCTGTTGATCACTTGTTGATTGTTGTATTGAGGGTTAGATTGAGGGTGAGAGGCCCCACCCTCAATTGAGGGTTAGCGGGTTAGGGTGACTGAGGGTGAGAGTCCCCACCCTCAATTGAGGGTTAGGGTCCCCATCTGTTGATCACTTGTTGATTGTTTTTATTGAGGGTTAGGTGAGGGTGATTGAGGGTTAGAGTCCCCACCCTCAATTGTTGTATTGAGGGTTAGGGTCCTAGTTTTGGGTGAGGGTGATTGAGGGTGTGTGTCTTGACCACGTCCAGTTGGTCAATTGACCAACTGTCCACTTGTTGACCACTTGACCAGTTATTGATTGTTTTTATTGACCTGGACGACAGTCCGGCTTTAACAGTATATAGTAAAATAGTATTTCACCACCCTCCAGTGAGGGTGTGGTTGGGGGTTGACGCGAGTGAAACCCGGGGGCGGGTGGGGGAGGTGGTAGCAGGTGGTACCCCTTCCCTTTGTGTGTTGCAATCTCATTCCCCCTTTGTCTGACGTCTGTGTGAGGATGTCCTTTTGTGTGCCGCTACTCGCGCACGCGCGGTTTGTCTACCCCCGACCCACTCGTTATGGTCTATTGTAAGGCTAGCTTTATTGAATAGGGTTGGTCTAGTCTTACCCCAGTTGTTAGTGTCTTTAAAAACATTGATAGTTTTTTCTAAAATAGTGACCAGGGTCAGACATCAAAGAGTATATTAATCAATTATTTTTAACAATTTAAAACGTAATTTAGGATACCAATGGTTTAACAGAAATTACACTAAATACCCTTGATTATGTTTTTTTGCTTTAGTTTCAAAGTCGATTATGTTTCAAAGCTCAAGTTTTGTAAATTTCTTTTGAGACTATGTAGGTAATCACTTCGTTTTCATTGTTTTATTTATTTATTTATTATTATTTTTTTTTTCACCACCTTTTAATTTTAAGGTTCTATAATTCTACCATATTGACTTCCACTTAAAATATATGTTTAAATACATTTTGTTTATATTTTTATAATTTTCTAAAAAATATTAATGTAGAAGCTAAACAAATAAAATTTTGTTTCTGTGACCTCGGCATATGAAGAGATAGTGTGTTCATCACTATACCCACACGAGTTTACTTTCCCTAACGTGAGTTAGGAACCCATCAGTACTCAGAGAACTTCTATTGATTTGGACCCGAATTCGACTCTTCATTGTCTATAGAATGGGACTTCTGTAAGAGTGGGGAGGGAGTAGGGTGGTTCACCCCTAAACTAATCCACGACCACAACGATGCATCTTTCATCTTTTTATAGTTTTTTAAATTGTCCCCCCTCTAAGCATTCTCAAGTACGAGAACTCAGCGACATACATTATCATAGCAACAATGAAATGGTGTAGCCCCGCGCGTTTATTGTGTATATTTAAAAATACGTGACGCGCGCCCTGCTCGCGTCTTCCCTAATAGAGCAACGAAGGTAGAATCCGATGTTCTATAATTAGAACAGTCTTGTCTACAGTCACAAATAGCGTCCCATAAATTTAGGATCCCGATGGTTTAACTGAGAACTGATACGGATTTACAATGGTGATACTTCTTTTTGACTTGAACTTTTTTAATTTAAGAAGGTTTACTTATACATAATACAATACGTCTAATTACAATTTTATTTTTGCAACTTATTTTATTTTGTTTTTTCTATATCTTGCATTATCATCTCAATTTTTGACCAGCTTAGTAAAATTTGCTTTAGATTATAAATTAAAAGTTTAAAATGCGTAGCCTACATTTAAATTTTCACCAAAATAACGACGTAAAAACTAAATACGATATGCCATTAGCATACATATCCTTCAATCAAATTACTCTAAAGTACAAATCAATAATTTTGATTGCTTAAGGGTCTTGACAAGTTATTTTTATCCGTCATTTACAGACATCAAATAGGCTAATTTACACACAAGACGAGTTTTTAGTAGGCCTACTTTGTTGAAATTAATTCAAGGGAGAAAACCCTAAAAATATTTACTTATGTACCGCTGGCGTAATCTTTACAAGCTCGCAAAACATACCCGCGTGATTCACTCTAGCATTTTTAAGTGTCAAAATGGAGCGCGCCCAAATTCCATTGTATGGGTAGCTGAGCATAGGACAATGAACCGAACAGACTGTGTCGGAAAAAGACTTCCACACAACCCTTTTCTCGCTCGAAGAAAATTTATTTTTAACTCCACGTTGAGTAATATTTTTTTTTAAATTTTAAATGTGTATTTGGTACGTATTAGTAGCGAGGTATCGTCTACTCGTTTCTACCTTGTGACGTCATTAGAAAGGGAGACGATCCGTCTTTTGATGTGAGCTACCCTTCAACCATTTACTAAAGCGCCGCTCAAAGCACGCGCCCAAATTCCATTGTATGTCGTGAGTACAATACCCATTGTATGGCTAGCTGAGCCTAGGACAATAGCTATACCCCAACGCGCATGGGTGGTTAGATAATAAGCGATGTATCTTTTCCGCGGAGCGAGCCGTGAAACAGGCGAAATAAAGAAAGTCGCTTTTGTATTTTATGTCTCAATCAGGGTGGCGCGATATTTTTTCTTTGTATCCGTGTTGTAAACAAAAGGAGGAGGAGAAAGGGCAATGATCTACCCTCCCACCATTGTGTTCCGTGAAGACAAACAGAATTTTAAACGCTTATTTGTTACGTTTTAGTAGCGAGATATCGTCTACTCGTTTCTTCCTTGTGACGTCATTAGCAGGGGAGACGATTCGCTGTGAGCTACTCTTCAACCATTTACTAAATCACCGCTCACAACGTTAGCGACGCGTACATGTAAAGGGTATTACTTAGTTTACACAGCGAGTTATCCAACTTTCTTTCACCAACACAAAAAAATAACCATTTGAAATATTTTGATCATACTTGTTCGGTAAAGGGAGAGAAGGCAAGGCATACATTAGCATGCCGCCTACAAAGGCGTCTTCCGTTTTCTTTCCGTGAAAGAGTTTTTTCAAACAGTGTCACCATTCCACTGTCACTTTCGCGGCTGGATTTATTTTAGCTCGAAGAAATTTATTTTTAACTTCACGTTGAGACATTTTTTATTTATTTTTTTATTTTTTTTTTATTTTTTTTTATTTTTTTTTTAAACGCGTATTTGGTACGGTGCTTTTGACGCCGTTAGCAGGGGAGACGATTCGTTTCCGCAGAGCGAGTCGTGTTGTAAACAAAAGGGTAGAGGAGGAGATTACTAAGTTAGAGAGACAAGACGATTCGTTTCCGCAGAGCGAGTCGTTCGTCATTTAAAGACATATCAAATAGGGTAATGTTACACAGGTTTTGCATGAAGTATAACTTGTATTGAGTATAGATGTGTACGTGTTTAATATTTAATGCCTGGAACACAGGACAAAAAAACAGATTTACATACCCGCAACATCCGAAACAAGGGTGGTGATGGGTACGGGGAGGGCGGAAGAGAAGAAAAAAAAACACAATAAAATGTTTAATGCTACAAATGTTTGGCTTTATTCAACGGTTTAAGAGTAAAAATGTTATATAATTTTATGCATGTCCTTATTGTAACAGTCACCATGACAAATGATTACAATTTTATATTTTTTGTGCAAGAAAGGCTCCCAGTGTGATTGCACCAAGTCCTGCCACAGACCATTTAAGTAATGTTTTAAAAGATGGCCAATCTCTCTGACTTTCAGTGCGTGAATAAAACTCAACCAGACCTTGCTGTAGAAGATAAAAAAGAGACTCAATGTCTTAATTTCCCTATCTTGAAGATGGGTAATCAGTATACTTTAAAGTCATGGGGAGAGGGGTGATAAAAGATGATAGAGATAAAATATAGCTGTAGCATACATAACAATTATCCTAAACGCAATATGTATTCAAATGAAAACACATCTCATGATTTTGAATTAAACAATATTCGGTTGTTCAAATGTATCACTTAAAACAAGTCAATATATACTGGTTTAGATTCTTCTTATCATGGATTTTAAATTTAATATTATGATGTAGGTATATGGAAACTATTCTTACCCATTTATTATTAGACGTCAGCCATTCTTGTAAGTTAGTGTCGATATATGAAGTAACCCATTCAACAACAATACCCACTAAATGGCTTTTATTATGTACGAAACAATATACAACAAAGCACCCAGCGAAGCCTAAAAGCGCTACAATCCTGCCCCAGTTAACACCATCCGAGAAGGTTTCATCAACTATTCTTTTAAAAGTATCATAAGCGTTGTTATCAGTAATATTAAGCTGTTCAATCAAATCATTGAATCTATTTCTAAATCGTTTCTCAAATTCATCACCAAGACTACGCATTGCCGCTTGGACAGCATTGGGAGTAACACTACTTTGTCGGCCATCATTCTCCCACTGAAAGCCTTCCTTCGCTACTCGGTGTTTGATATAATCCACTACTATTAAACGAGTATTATAAGATTCCGTGTTTTCACACAATTCACTTGAACTTAACACATCTTTTTTAAAAAACATCTCAAACTTTTAAATGAGATTCATTTATATTACACAAAAAAAACTCCCTAATTCAGCAAACGAAAAAGTGAAGACATTTTGTCATTCGTTTCAACTAAACTGCCAACCAATCTTATGGCCACTTGCATAGTCGATCTAATTATATAGTGTTAGTCAGGAAGAAAATAGGTGGAGGAGGAGGTCACTAGGTCACACACACACACACACAAAACACACATTCACACACATACACTCACACACTTATTCTACTTCGAAATCTTTTCCTGGTCAAATCATCGGATTCTCTTCCACATCCAACTCAAAGCTGTTACACACTCAAATCAAAACACGTCCCACTCTAGTGTAACTTCTGCACCAAACAACTTAAGAATCTTCCCTGCCCCAAGTTTGAAACCTGCCCTGGACAACACGAAAGACGTCCACACTCGAATCGAAAATCGCACTCTCTCAACTCAAAAACCTGCCCTGGACAACACAAAAAACATCCACATTCTCATCGAAAATCGCACTCACTCAACTCAAAAACCTGCCCTGGACAACACGAAAAACATCCACACTCACATCGAAAAATGCACACACTCAAATCAGAACTATCTGACATTAAGTCTGGTTGTTGCTGAAGTGTGACATTAATTATGTATGTTGGTGATGATTAGAACTTATGGCAAGCAGTATTCACGGACCAGCCGCTCACCTCGGGTGGTTGCACGGAGCAGGGTCGGTGGTAGTAAGGGTATCACCAGACCGTCCCTACATAAAATGGTTGGTAACGATGGTATTCATGGAGTAAACAGATGAAAGCGACTTTCTTTATTTCGCCTGTTTCACGGCTCGCTCCGCGGAAAAGATACATCGCTTATTATCTAACCACCCATGCGCGTTGGGGTATAGCTATTGTCCTAGGCTCAGCTAGCCATACAATGGGTATTGTACTCACGACATACAATGGAATTTGGGCGCGTGCTTTGAGCGGCGCTTTAGTAAATAGTTGAAGGGTAGCTCACATCAAAAGACGGATCGTCTCCCTTTCTAATGACGTCACAAGGTAGAAACGAGTAGACGATACCTCGCTACTAAAACGTACCAAATACACATTTAAAATTTAAAAAAAAAAATTACTCAACGTGGAGTTAAAAATAAATTTTCTTCGAGCGAGAAAAGGGTTGTGTGGAAGTCTTTTTCCGACACAGTCTGTTCGGTTCATTGTCCTATGCTCAGCTACCCATACAATGGAATTTGGGCGCGCTCCATTTTGACACTTAAAAATGCTAGAGTGAATCACGCGGGTATGTTTTGCGAGCTTGTAAAGATTACGCCAGCGGTACATAAGTAAATATTTTTAGGGTTTTCTCCCTTGAATTAATTTCAACAAAGTAGGCCTAGTAAAAACTCGTCTTGTGTGTAAATTAGCCTATTTGATGTCTGTAAATGACGGATAAAAATAACTTGTCAAGACCCTTAAGCAATCAAAATTATTGATTTGTACTTTAGAGTAATTTGAATGAAGGATATGTATGCTAATGGCATATCGTATTTAGTTTTTACGTCGTTATTTTGGTGAAAATTTAAATGTAGGCTACGCATTTTAAACTTTTAATTTATAATCTAAAGCAAATTTTACTAAGCTGGTCAAAAATTGAGATGATAATGCAAGATATAGAAAAAACAAAATAAAATAAGTTGCAAAAATAAAATTGTAATTAGACGTATTGTATTATGTATAAGTAAACCTTCTTAAATTAAAAAAGTTCAAGTCAAAAAGAAGTATCACCATTGTAAATCCGTATCAGTTCTCAGTTAAACCATCGGGATCCTAAATTTATGGGACGCTATTTGTGACTGTAGACAAGACTGTTCTAATTATAGAACATCGGATTCTACCTTCGTTGCTCTATTAGGGAAGACGCGAGCAGGGCGCGCGTCACGTATTTTTAAATATACACAATAAACGCGCGGGGCTACACCATTTCATTGTTGCTATGATAATGTATGTCGCTGAGTTCTCGTACTTGAGAATGCTTAGAGGGGGGACAATTTAAAAAACTATAAAAAGATGAAAGATGCATCGTTGTGGTCGTGGATTAGTTTAGGGGTGAACCACCCTACTCCCTCCCCACTCTTACAGAAGTCCCATTCTATAGACAATGAAGAGTCGAATTCGGGTCCAAATCAATAGAAGTTCTCTGAGTACTGATGGGTTCCTAACTCACGTTAGGGAAAGTAAACTCGTGTGGGTATAGTGATGAACACACTATCTCTTCATATGCCGAGGTCACAGAAACAAAATTTTATTTGTTTAGCTTCTACATTAATATTTTTTAGAAAATTATAAAAATATAAACAAAATGTATTTAAACATATATTTTAAGTGGAAGTCAATATGGTAGAATTATAGAACCTTAAAATTAAAAGGTGGTGAAAAAAAAAAAAATAATAATAAATAAATAAATAAAACAATGAAAACGAAGTGATTACCTACATAGTCTCAAAAGAAATTTACAAAACTTGAGCTTTGAAACATAATCGACTTTGAAACTAAAGCAAAAAAACATAATCAAGGGTATTTAGTGTAATTTCTGTTAAACCATTGGTATCCTAAATTACGTTTTAAATTGTTAAAAATAATTGATTAATATACTCTTTGATGTCTGACCCTGGTCACTATTTTAGAAAAAACTATCAATGTTTTTAAAGACACTAACAACTGGGGTAAGACTAGACCAACCCTATTCAATAAAGCTAGCCTTACAATAGACCATAACGAGTGGGTCGGGGGTAGACAAACCGCGCGTGCGCGAGTAGCGGCACACAAAAGGACATCCTCACACAGACGTCAGACAAAGGGGGAATGAGATTGCAACACACAAAGGGAAGGGGTACCACCTGCTACCACCTCCCCCACCCGCCCCCGGGTTTCACCCGCGTCAACCCCCAACCACACCCTCACTGGAGGGTGGTGAAATACTATTTTACTATATACTGTTAAAGCCGGACTGTCGTCCAGGTCAATAAAAACAATCAATAACTGGTCAAGTGGTCAACAAGTGGACAGTTGGTCAATTGACCAACTGGACGTGGTCAAGACACACACCCTCAATCACCCTCACCCAAAACTAGGACCCTAACCCTCAATACAACAATTGAGGGTGGGGACTCTAACCCTCAATCACCCTCACCTAACCCTCAATAAAAACAATCAACAAGTGATCAACAGATGGGGACCCTAACCCTCAATTGAGGGTGGGGCCTCTCACCCTCAAGCACCCTAACCCTCTAACCCTCAATTGAGGGTGGGGACTCTCACCCTCAGTCACCCTAACCCGCTAACCCTCAATTGAGGGTGGGGCCTCTCACCCTCAATCTAACCCTCAATACAACAATCAACAAGTGATCAACAGATGGGGACCCTAACCCTCAATTGAGGGTGGGGCCTCTCACCCTCAAGCACCCTCACCCTAACCCTCTAACCCTCAATTGAGGGTGGGGACTCTCACCCTCATTCACCCTAACCCTCAATACAACAATCAACAAGTGATTAATGTATGGTCAAGTGGTCAAAAAACAGTCAAAAATAATCAACAGGTGGTCAAGAATCAATCAATAACGGTCAAAATATGCAACAGGTGCGCAAAAATCAATCAATAACGGTCAAAATATGCAACAGGTGGGCACCCTCTGATCAACAGGTGCACCCTCACCCTTCACCCTCAAATATACCACTTGGGGGACCTACTATACTACTGCGGCTGTCCTGAGCCTGCGCGTTCAGGGTTTTTAAATCACATCAGAACCAGGGGAGGTCACTCCAAAGTCATAAGACTATACGTTGGGAAATCGCCAAAGTTCGAAATAACCAATTAAACTTTATTTGAAAATTTCATCACATAACGTGACCGAAAAAAATACTGGCGATTGCACCACAGCTTTCCCAAGGTCGATTACATAAATGAAAAACTAAACTATATAAAAAAACTAAGACCTAAGTAGGTCACAGGCAACATGATCTTTTATGGAAGTCGACATGTTTGATATGAATTTTATATATATATAGGGGTGTTTCTACAAATGAAATTATCAAAATTATAGTTTTAAAATACATTTCTGAAAAGCATTTAGGGAAAATAAAACATTATATAAATACTGAGTTTACTGTTCTACACTTATTGCTGATGTCCTCATCTAACGGAATAGACGAAATAAAATATATAAATATTACATAAACGTGTAAACAAACTCGAGTTTATTATTACCGTAACAGTATTAGCGAAATATGCGTAACCATGTACATTTTCTGAATTCCAACAGCATGCTCTTTTCGATATAGACTTCGTATTATATTAATCTCACAAAAAATAATTTACAAAATTAAAGAATAAAGGTTTTATTATATATACAATTGAAAAATGCACTAAAAAGTAAAAAAAATCAGTTTGGTGTAACCTTACAAAACTTGACGGTTAATGAAGGAAATTGAACCTAAGTCTTTTTCTATGTTATAGAACGTAAACCTATCTTAGAGTGTTAAGATTCCGATGTTAATGCACTGGAATCCAAGATCTAATGCTGTGCTGAAGTTCAGCTATTAACGTTTTTTAACGTACCGAACCCAACCAGTTTCATAAGCGCATGAAGTGAACCTTTCTTAATGGTTGTACTGTCCGTAATGACAAAATCCATCTTGAATCAAATTTGTCATGTGTCTTACCGTCGAACCCCCGAGATTGACTCTCCGAACCGCAGGATGTGCATACCTCAATAATATTTTGAAACATCACGAATGAAACAAGCTGGGCGACCGGTATTAGTGGTTTAAAATTAATAACAAAAAATTATAATATAGACTTCTGTAGTATTGTTTTGAAGAAAACATGATCAGTGCATAAAATATGTATTATAATAATCCTTTAAAAGTGTTTAATTGCATTAGCAAATGTACTTAAAATGAGACACAAAAAACCCATTAAGAAACGGTAATTTAACTGTATGATTTTTTAATATTA